GGTGAAGGCTTACAGAACAAATAGTTTCTCATGAAACAGTAGTACACATTGTTTTATGACATTGGTTAACAACCCCACAACATGTCAACCCTCTCCCTTCTCGACCTTTTTTTTTTGGTGAAAATATACATAGCCAAAGATACATCGTTTCAAAAATTTCTACATGCGCAGTTCAGTGACATCAACTATGCTCTTCCAATTGTGCTGCTATTCTTTAGATGAAGGCTTACAGAACAAAATAGTTTCTGATTTAACAGTACACATGTTGCCCTATGACAATGGTTAACAACCTCACAACACATCAACACCATCCCTACTCAACCTTGGGTGGAATCCTATTTTTTAAATTAATTTTCCTTTAAATGCTCCTGACTTCCAGAGCAAAAACAGCCTCACACTGATCAAGCAATTAGAAATGTTTTCAGTACAGATACAATTACTGTTTCCATTAAGCTCATCATACACTAAGACTTAATGAAAAAACAAAGAGTTCAGCAATTCTCAGACACTATTTCTGCACAAAATTAAAAAATTCATTTAACTCCACCTGACATCACACATGTGGAAGCTTTATAGAAACCCCTCATATAATTCCGGAAAAATTTCAGTGATTTTGTAGAGAAGATTTTATAGCAAATTTATTTCCACATTAGTCTTAAGCATCATAAAAATCAGGTTTCATTACTTCTTGCACTAAACATCAACAACCAACATGGGTTCCATTAAATTACATTGAGAGCAGTAGAGATTTTTGTAGGGCTGTGAGCCTCCAGTCTCCATAAGTTAATGGCATCAGGAATTACAACTCCCTCCTGTGTGTCTTGGCACTGAACCAGTTTCTAACCCAGAAGAATCTCTTTTCCCTACATGATCACTTACCCAGACTTCTTTTGTGTTTGGTATAGCTTTTTGACATTTGAAAATTTATATTAGTATATTTAAAAAAAAAAAAAACAGTTGCCATTGAGTTGATTCCAACTCATGGAGACCCTATGTCAGAGTAGAACTGTGCTCCACAGGGTTTTCTTTCTTTTTTTATTGTTGCAAATATATGTATATAACACATTTGCTAATTCAACATCTTTCAAGTGTACAATTTAATGACACTAATTACATTAATCATGTGCAATCACCACCAATAATCATTACCACAATTTCCATCAACATAAGCAGAAGCTCATACCCAGGCTTCTGGTACACCTTCCCTACATTTTCTGCCATCAGACTGAAATAGAGAATACTCACAACTTCTTCTCACCGCCAGGATGCTGGGATCACTGCAAAGGTCAAGACAGCTAGTGTATGTGTTTGTGGGAGGGAGGCAGTCAGACCCTGAGATAAAGGTTTGTGATTCTGTGACCTCACCTCCCCACAGAACTGCAATTATCATTTCACCTGTAGTGGCAGTTATATTCCACACATAGGGTGCTGATTCTATCCCTGGAAAACTTTCACAGTTGCTAATTACCAAAACAATTAGAATGTCTTGAGCATCTCCAAAGTGACCACTGGTGTGTTTGGAAGAGGCTCTTCCCTTTCTATGATCCTTAGCAGCAAACAGCTCAAATGCTGAGATCTGAGCCATGAGGGATTGATACTGAAGCACATGTGTCTTACTAGAGTCTGTGCTTCTCTGAGAAGGCTTTAAAACCCCAAAATCGAATTCTTGGATTTTCTTCAGACCACCAACCTCCACCATTATTTCTTTAGGAGCAGAGAAATGCTACCTCCAAAAGAACTCAAAGATTTATCAGTGGGGTAAAAGTGAAAGGAAGAACATGATGTAAAGAATCCATATTAAAACTCATTAGAGACAAATTTGTATCTCCAAACCCATGGCTGTCGAGTCAATTCCAACTCACAGTGACCCTAAAGGACAGAATAGAACTGCCCCATAGGGTTTCCAAGGAGTGGCTGGTGGATTCAAACTGCCAACTTTTTGGTTAGCAGCCAAGCTCTGAACCACTGTGCCACTAGGGCTCCTTGGATAACTCAGTGTAAATTATTTTGGAAACACAGATGAAATGGAATATATATACAGTGAAACCTGTGACAGCCGGAACTTGACGGGACTGCCTTATTTTTCCAGGTCACACAAGTTTTCAGCCTTTGACAAGGTGCAGTCTACCACTTTTCTATCATTTGTTTTAGTGGAAAATATTTGCATTTTCCTTCTCTGACAGGTTTCTGCCTTACACAGGTTGAGACTTCTGCAGGTTTTACTGTACACACACACACATATGTATATATATATGTGAATATAACACATGCATATGTATGTCCCCAAGTTACGACATATTTGAGTTATAACAAACCACACTTATGACCGTCTTTTGTACATCTTATTTATTGTTAGTATTATGTAGTACACACAATGTTAAAATATATCTGTAAGTTTATATGTAATGTTTCCAACCCCCAAAGACAAATGAAGATTGGATTTATAAAGATACTGATAATAAAAGGCAATAAAAATGAAAACCAAAAAAAAAAATCAGGTATTCAACTTACGTCAGAACTAACTTACCATGTAGTCTTTAAAATAGAACCCCACTGTAAGTCAGGGACTACCTGTACATACACATAGACCCTGATTAAGGGTTAAACACTCGACTACTAGCCAGAAGATTGACAGTTTGAATCCACCCAGAGATGCCTGAAAAGAAGGGCCTGGTGATCTACTTCCGAAAGGTCACAGCCTTGAAAATCCTGTAGAATGCAGTTCTATTCTGCAGACATGGGGTCATTGGAATTGACTGGACAGCAAGTGGTTTGGGTTTTTTTTATTTTTGCTTTATGATGCACACATATATAATTTAATTCACATTTATAGAACTAAAGGAGTCCCTGGGTGGC